ATCACAGACTGTCAGGTCCCTTTACAATCAATAGCCTTAGATCAGAAACCAATCCATACACTAAGATTACATCATCAAAATAAAGATATAGCAAAAGTCCATACTGTACGGATACCTTTAAAGTCCCGCACATTCGATATGTCTACAAAGCCAGATTCTGTATTGCCCTTTGACTCCTTGTTTCTTGATTTTTCTTGTTCCGCAAACTTGTCTATCTAATAGCACGTGTACGGGGCAGTGTTTGCTTTTTAGGGTGTCGGGCTTCAGCGGAGCGCCCACCCACAGGCTTTGCACTGGCCTGTCCTCACTGTCTGGCAGGTGATAGATCAGACACGGAGGCTAACACGTGTTCCCCTGAAGAAGGGGATTTAGCGAAGTGCTGACCTCTTTACAACCCTCCCACACACACACACATACACTCTACTCACAGCACACATTCATGTACACACATGCCAAATGTATATCACCCCTGACAAGTGACGTGGGATCAGACCTTGAGGTCCCTGTTTCCTTCTATGTCTTTTTTTCTCTTTCACCGACCCCGACACGCAACAATTTGTGCAAAAAACACAGACCGGGGATCCTGAATCGACCCGGGTCATCTCCAGCCTTGCAGATGTTTTCGATTACAGGCACATGTGTGGTCAGCGCGGCTCTGTACCACACACACAGTAATACCCTTGTGGACACGCCGACTCAGATTTATGAAAAGTGTAAAACATGATAAAGAGAGCGATGCCAATGTTCGCAGCTATGGGAGAACAACTCCTGCTTTGTCTGGGGGATAGAGCAGGTGGGACGCCATCCTGATACACCCCCCCCCCCTCCTCCTCACCCCTTACCCTTTTTCCTCTACCCTCCCTCTTTCTCAACCATCAAACAAAAGCTGTCCGATGTCTTCAGCTCTTCAGAAGCGGCTCTGTAGGGGCAAGGTCCCTGTGCCGTTTAAAGGGTGGGGGACAGTAGGAGGGGGCGCTCGCTGCATCCCTCTGATTTTTCACAGCTAAAATAAGGAGCTCCTAATCTCCTTTTGGCAGCGTTAGCCAGCCAGCCAATTCTGACACATTCTCTAGAAAGAAGCGCCGCTGACAGGTGAGCGGCTGAAAATAGTTGCACGGGATACACACACACACATGTTCATATAGTAACAGCTCGATACTCACTGTATGAGCCACGTGCATGCCGGTGGGATGCTCTCTATAAAGCTTCTACTGCATATTATGAATAGATCTTACCTAGATATTCTTTTTATACTTTTTATTTTTCATTATTTTAATTCATTTTATTTTATACTGGACAGCAATTGGTTAGTTTCCAGGCAATTTAGTTTTGTTTTCTATTCTAGTTTAATTTATTTACTGTGCAGGCCCGTAGACATTGTAAAAACTGAAGGCATATTGTTTGTGTGGGAATTTGACCACAGTGGGGAATAACATGCTGTAATTTAAAGGGGACCTATCATGCAAAATGCACTTTTGTACATATTTTATACATGAATATGTGTCCCCGGTCTGTCAGGGAACTCACCAAGTGTCAGAAAACACGACCCTCTCTCTTTTCCTCCATACCCAAATCTCTAAAAACGGGGCTGCAACGGATCTGATACAGACTGATACAGATTTGAAATATCTCTGACGTCAGAAACGTGGAGCTCCGCCTATATGGGCAACTCTCCACCTATCAGGAGGAGACAGCCACGGCCATCGCCGTTCGAAAGTGCTGGAGACGCTGTAGTACCAGGCCTGTAGGTGGCGCTGTAGTCTGCCACAAAAGCAGCGAAGAAGACTTCTCACAGATTCAGCCCTTGCAAAAACAGGGCTAAAAAAGAGCAAATAGAGCGAAATGAGGCATGGCTAAAATGCATGATCTGTTTGGTATTTTGAAAAAAACTTTGCAGACATGTTTTATATAGGTATGGCCCTACAATATATTAATCAAATATAACATGATAGGTCCACTTTAAACAAACCCTTACACAAATCGGATATCATTATTTTATAACTTAGTTTTTATATTACTTTCCGTTTCAATATTCAAACATATACACATTTTAGTCAACTTTTTGTTACTTTCCCATTTACAGAATACAAGGTGGATATGTTATAGGGTTATTCCAGTATGTTTAGAATTACTATAACAACCACAAGATAAAGGATTCACTTTTTTCAAGTTTTTTCCACAGTTAACATAATAAATAAAACATAACAAGTCCAAGTAGTTACAACTATTTAGTGACATTTTCCTCCTGACGTTATTTTTGGTGTTTGGCTTGGTGGGAATTAATTTAATACCAAAAACCTGGCTGTATGATCTTATAAATATTTCTTTATGTGGACATTAAAGAAAGGACTAGCAACTGCTGTGAAATTAATAGGAATCCAATCAAAATAAACACAATGAAAGAAATAAATTCACCTGACACGTACATACACACAGCGACCGCCACATAAAGGAAAACAGCCGCTTGAATCGGGAATGTGCTTTAAGGTTGGTCAATAAAGATATTGAATGTGAAAGAGAAGCCGGGGTCAGGTGGCCGTAAAGATTGCTGCTATGCAAACATGCCTCATCGTCTTTCCATACACATGTGTATGCACACACACACACACACACACACACACACACACACACACACACACACACACACACACACACACACACACACACTCACACACACAGCGAGGATGGACTGTCAGCCAGTATCTTTGTGTCTCAGGCCAGCTAAGTTATGAGCATACTGCACTGTATGATCTTACCGAGCTCATAACATTCAGCACACACACTTCTGGCAGCCTCGCCCCGGCTTCCATACTTCAGCAACCGTAAAAAATGGATCTGGATGCTTTTAAGATGATCTGTGGCCCCCATGTCACAGGCTCTCTCAACGCTGAGACACAAGCTCTGGACCCGATTGTCCTGAAGCGTGAAGGCTGCTGAGGTTTTGGGCCTGAGGTGTTGAATGTGCGGCTGACGATGACACGAACCCCCCCCCATCCCTCCCCTAGCCCTCGACAAGGGGGCCTCATCCAGCTGTCCTGTTGTGGTCAGATTCTCAGTACTCTTCTGTATCACATGGGGAGGAGATAATCCCGCAATGGTCGGATCAAGCTCTGGCCGGGACAGGCAGGGCTGTCAGGGCCAGAGACGTGAACTCGATGCTGAAAGGGAGAGTGAAAAAAGAGACAGACAGAAGGGAAAGAAAAACAGAGATCTTGCAGAAAACTGATACATTCGGCCAAAAACAGCAGCTTGTTCTGTCTTATTCCTCCCCCCTCCTCCCATTCTTCACATTATCTAACTCTTTTTTTACCCTCTGTGTTATTCTCTCTGCCCTCCTGCCTTGCTTCTCTGCCGTTTGCAGCGCCGCTAAGCTGTAAACTGAAACTGGTTAGCGCTGAGCTCTTAATTCTTGTCAGCGTCTATTAATTATGGGCCAGTTGGATGTTCCAGTTCAAACGGCCCCCGCGGATCTTGGAATTCTAACTCCGGCTGTTTGGTCACTTGTCGCTTGTTGCAGCCACATGACCCTGCAGCAGGAAAACTGTGCGTGTGTGTGCTATTGTGTGAGTGTGTATGTGAGGTCGGTGGTAGATGTCAGGGACAAAGGCAGCAATCATTTGTGTCACTTAGTCTGACAAGTCTACATATGTTTAGTGTAGACACCTGCTTATTAAGTTTCTGCATGACACATTCTTATTGTTTTGAAAGCCTTTACTTACTCAATATCTCTTTATTAGGCCTATGTGTGTCATTAAATAGACAGAAGCTTTCGAATTGTAATATCTGGAGTACATGCGCACGGTCTCCCGAAGCACAATTTATCATTTTAAATTCACCTTAACCCAGAGTAATGGCAGAAACTACTACAAAAGCTCCATCTATCTCAAACCCAGTTCCTAGCTGCCTAACTGACTAATTAAAACATGTGTTCAAAGAACAAGAAGTCTATTTGCAAGCCTTATTGATTACTTTAAGGCGTGCAAATGGAAAGCTGTGTTAGGAGAGGGGCTCTCGATTTAGCTTCAATCTGCCAGGCATAAAATGATCTCACTGTGTTTGCTGGGAAGAATGAGCTCCCTCTGGGCACGGTGGGTAATTAGGTTAGTGGATAGTCGGTGTCAGGAAATTGAAAGACCATCCTAATCGGATTCTTTTGTTTCCAAGGGAATCAAAGGAATTTATACGAGTCACTGGGAAATCTCACACGACTCAATTCCACTTGACCATGTAGAATCTGTTTGCTCTCCCTCAATGCTCAAACAACTTGTAATACAAGCGTGTAAATCCAGCACATAAATTGCATCTGATGTCCTCTGAGATGGCTTTCAAGATAATCCCTGATATGTCAGCTTGTATACTAACTAGATTCTTACACTGCTCCACCTGCAACACGGAGGTATTTAACTCTTTCAGTGAAAGGTCATAAATTAAAGAAAGAAACTCAGCATCTATGGAATACGCATAAATAACTACTTATACAGGAATAACTTTCCAAAAAAAAGTCTTAAAGTTATTTTTATTATAGTACTGAATATGTATATATGACACTGAAGACATTCTAAGTCTCTCTCCAATTCTCTACGGCTGTAATGTCAATTAAAGACATGTTGTATTATTACATATCTGGGAGAAGAACAGGTTGTGTGAATTATCAAAATTCATGACATTTTTTGTGTATCTTTTGAATTTCTGTTCAAAGTCTAGAAAGTTTTTGGTGTACTAACTATGACCAAAAGGATGAGTTATTTAAATTTACTGTATCTGTCTAAATAAATGTGCCCTGTAAGCATGTTTGTGCTGGGCATATTGTGTATGCATGACATAATAATGATCGATCAATCAATCATGAATGTAAAAATAATAAAAACAAGGGAATCTGAGATTGAGATCTATGATTCTTTTATCACGCAAAGTAGTTATATATGTAGCTTTTATTGAATTCATTTAAACTGTTTTTTTTTGGAAGCCATTTCTACATGTGTGATCTTTTTTTTTTAAAGGTGTACGTCTGGACCGGGTGAGAGGGGGGAGACAGAAGTACAAGCGGAGGTTGGACGCAGAGAACAGCGCCTACCTCGGCCTCAGCATGGCCCCTCCTGCCAAAAAGCCACGTGAGTCACACAGTTGTTGATGTTTCTATCTGACTCAGCTCAATTGTTTGGCACCTCAGCGTTACAGAGAGGCTTCATTTAGCTTTTAAATCAAATAAGCTATATCACAACTTGGGGTATTTATAGAATTTGTTTATAGAATTCTTTTTTTTTAATTGAGACTGCCACTTATTTTTAAACTTTATTTATTTGTTATCATTCCTATGCTCCACTATAATCCAACATCCATGTATTTTTTCTTTATTTTCTTAATTTTGTTTTACTTTTTTTCTCTCAAACAAATACTGTTTTGTCACTTAAAATTGTCTCACCACGCCTCTCTCTTCTCTCTCTTCATCTCTGCATCTGTCCTCCTCTCTCTCTCAGTGACGAAGATTGTTTCGCATCTGTTGGTGGTGGAGCCGGAGAAGATCTATGCCATGCCCGACCCCACCATGCCCGACGGAGACATCAAGGCCCTGACCACGCTGTGCGACCTGGCCGACCGCGAACTGGTGGTCATCATCGGCTGGGCCAAACATATCCCAGGTAGAGAGACATGGCTTCTAATGGATCGCTGTGTCGTCTGGCATACTTCTAAAAAAACATATTCATTTCCGTATTTAACACTTTCAAGTTAGATACTTATTTCTTTCTTTGGCAAACATTCTATGAACAAAACCAAATGTAAGAAGGTCAAATTGAAAGACAAATTACATACATTATACAACTAGGATTATGTCAGCAGTTGTTTTGGTTCATCGAATTAAAAAAATCAATATCTAATTTGTAGGGTTTGATTACAGGATTCGTGACGACACTCGTATGATATACTTTAAAATGAAGCAAGCAAGAAAACACACATTTGTACTTTTAATTTGTTGGAACGATACAGTATGCGATTACTGAAGTAGTTCACTGACGATTACTGAAGTAGTTCACTGACGATTACTGAAGTAGTTCACTGACTGTTGCACACAAACACACACACACACACACACACACACACACACACACACACACACACACACACACACACACACACACACACACACACACACACACACACACACACACAACACACACTGACAGACACAGGATAATTAACATCTGCTACTCATCTGCACCTAAGGGAGAAGCTAGTCCCATATTCTAAAATCTAATCAATAAAGAGCAGCTGAAACCTTTGATTTGACTGGGTGGAGTGGGAGAGTCTGTGTGGGGGGGGGGGAGATACGCCCCTATGTCAATGTATTCCATTTCAATCCCAGACTTAAAGAAAGCAATCCTCTTACTTACTTAAGGAGACTACACAGTCAAATTGATTTATTTAGGGAAATACTGATGGATTTCCCCGGCCCTTGTTGACAAATTCTTAAATAAGACTTGTTATGCAAATAACCTGAGATCCTTTTTATCTCTATCAGTTGAAACAGACACTTTGTGTTTGGAGGGAGCACAGATTGGACTCAAAGTAGATCTCATTGATCCCATCGAGTATGTACAAATTGCACATGTAGCAAATTGAATATTTTAATAAAAAAATAAAATGTTCTTTATTTATCAATGAAATAACAATCACAATTTCTCAGAGCAAAATATATCATCTTTAAAAATATATATATATCCCGCCAGCAATACAAAACACGAAGATATTTAATTTATATAAAACAAAGAAGCTCCTTACATTCGAGAATCTGGATCTAAAGAATGCTCCAAAGAAAGAAAGTAATACATGTAGTTTTAAAATGACATCATGTACTGTATATTTATCAGAGAGTAGTCACAAATTCTTAAAAGTATTCATTTAGCTCCAGGGGTTCAGAAATAATATAATATTTGTGAATGTCTATCCCTGTTACATTTTCTATGTATAACTATTGATCTTGCATGCTATGTAGATCTAAATGCAGACCTGACAGAGTTATTAAAGGGGCACGCGACACTCTGGGGACACTTTACCCGGGGCCAGCGGGTCGGAGTGTCACCAAGTAACGATTAAGACAAAAGGGGTCCCTACAGTTTAACAGTCCACTCCCACCATTACACTCATAGCCCACTGCGCAAATGGCCTTAACGATGAGGTAATAAGAGTCATTACTGCGGATCGCTCCATTAATGCAAAAGTCCTTCAACATCCAGATGTAGAGACCTGGGAGAAAACATGCATGGGAAGGTTTTATGTAACATGTTGACATTTTGTTTAAATATGTGTGGTAAATGGCCGCCAAGCCCACTGCAACTTCCTTTACTTTAGTTTAGTTAATTATACAAAACCAACTATTCCTAAGCTTCAAAACAAACATATTTTTGCCTTCGAGAACAAAACTGTTAGGAGAAATGGTTTTCATAGTGTTTTAAATAAAGTTACTAAACGTGTGTGAAAGGAATGCTATAACTCATCATGAGGCATCCACTGATTGGATGTTACACACACTGTCATGAAAATGGAAGCAAAATCGCAGCTTGGTAGTCAGGGGGTCATGGGTGGCCACTAATTTGTGCAGCTGTTAACACACAGACACCATCTCCGACATGTAAGTGTGTACAACATGTGAAGATTTATATTCAGGCAACTGCATCCAGCGCCCTCTGGTATTTCTCTCGGTTCAGCATTGCTTTCTTCTTTCCCCTCTTTCTCTCCTTAACTCTCTAACACACCATCGTATCGTTCACACACTCTCTCTGGCTTCCTTGTTCTCTCGTTCCCATGGCTCTCCCCCTCCTACTCCTACGGCTCATATAGGGCCCTCTAGTCTCATTATTACCTCTGTCTTTTTATTAGGCCCATTAGGGCTCTTAGGAGGCCTGTAATGATACTAAATGAATAGAGAGTGAACTGCTGTCTGTTTTAGACCCAGCTCTCAATGACAGCTTCAAGCTTCACTGCCAACCACTCACTCTCTTCAGTGTACTGAATAGGGATTCAATTACTTATCTGTTTTGTTCCTGTACTGTACTGTTGCATAGCCAGAGCACTCTGCTTTTCAGCAAAGAATTATCCTAAACAATGCTCTTCAAACCCGAGGGTACAGTGGTTCAGTGTGACCTGTAGCACCATTGGGTGTGGAAGATATTCAGTCTACTAAACAGATTTTGAGTTGAGATTTGTTCCACCATTATTTATTCCAGTGTTACAAAGACTAAATGGACTTTGAAACCGGCAGAATCAGCATCTTGAATTCCTCAAGTGATTGGGTTTAGGCAACATAAACACTTTGGTTCGGGGGCGATGGTGATTTTGATCAAATGTTGAAAAAGTTGTCGCACCTCATGCTTCAATATTAATTTTGACTTCATCAATATTTAAACAAGACCATGATCTTTCCCTTACTCCCCATAGAGCCTAATCACTGTAATAGTTATAAGATGATTTGCCATACAAGTTCTGACTTATTTTAACACTGGGAGATAATGTACATTAACAACATTTATTCATTCAGATTGAATTAATGCTTTTATTCCAAATTGTAATATGTCTCTTGCTTCATAATCTACGGGCGTTCATCTAGACAGCTAAAGCAACATACCGTTAGCCATAGCTAGACTAAATGCTAGTTTTTCACAGAGTTACAGCTATTAATAAAAATGTACTTGCCCCGTCTTTTCTTTAACTATACATAATTGTATTTCAGTTTGTTATCCAAAATAAATAAACAAGGCGGTAGCTACATCTAACCCACTAGCATAATCTTAAAGTAATTTAATTTAATTTAAATCACATAATAAATATACTGTATATTTAGTTTTAATAGGTTGAAATATCTGAATTTTGAGTACTCTCTATTTAAAACTGGTTTAATTGGGTATAATAATTAGCTTTAAAAGATATAAAATGAACACATTACAACCCTTTATATGCAGTGTGCCTGCTAGGCTGTAATCCGTTAACACTTCCTTAATTCCTCCCTAACTGCACTCTTCCTTTGTACTGCATATTCATATACAGTATAATAATAGATTTTTCTCTTAAAACGATGGAAACCTGTGGTGTCTCTTGTCTCAGTTCATGCTTTTTGTCATCACAAGAGGATAAAACTGCAGAGAGGGAGGCATTCCCCAGCTGGCTCGATACTGTGCCATGTTTGGTCAAACGGCAGTAAATCCGTAGGGCAAAATATTGATATTTCATGGCGGGGAATCACCCTCCACAGCGACACTTAACTCAGCCACCTCCAGGCAGCACACCTGAAGCTCGAGGGCGACCTCCAGGGAGCCAGGAAGTCACTCCATCGCTTCAGTAAATTGAGTGGAAAGGGAATAAAAACATAGACTGGGGGGGGAAAAGGATGGAGACAGCTGAAGATGGTGACTCTACTTTCTAGAAAAGGTTGAAAAAAATGTAGAGACAAAGCTTGAATATAACCAGTTTGGAGGTTTGATGTATTAAACACTCCTAATAAGCATTTCAACATCAGTTTGAGTTTTTATGGACTCGCTTTGTGCACACGTTAGTCATTGATCCTCCATTATTATTCCAAATACACCTGATGGGATTGAAGCCATTCATTTGCTTGTGTTTTGGAGATGGAAAGTAAATTCATGAATTCCTGATGCAGCCTACAGTATCTCCATTCAGGGATCCCGTTGTCCCCCCTCCCCCCCCCCACTAAACGTGTACCGGATGTCCTCCATCAACTGTCTGTTTGTCAGATCTGAGGCTTGGATCGATCCCCCTTTCGCATTTGGTGGACTGATTACAATCTACTAATCAATGACACCCCCAGCACTCTTTTCTCTCTCCCTCATTCTCTCTCCCCCTCGTCGTTTCTCTATTTGCTTGATAAGAACCATCGGGAGGAATTCCTTTTAAGTCAACCTGCCCCATTCCCATCCATACAACCGCAGATTTAAGTAAGCAGAGTGCTGGGTTCAAGGCCCTGGTCAATACCCCCCAATCACCTTCCTATTCACTATAGAGAAGTGAAAGGTATTGTGGCGCTTGAGGTCCTTTCAGATGTCTGTCTGTTTGATGTGGTGTGAATGTCGCAAAGAGAGTTGATGGGTCGACCTCGAGATCTTGGAGGGATTGTTACCTCGAGTGCAGAAGGTTGAACACGAGAGACAAAAGGATCAAGATGGTGTCTATCAGGGAATACATTTTGGTTTTGTTTCAGCAATTCATTTGAAAACCGTTCCCATCAAAATACCATTATGTCACCAAGTGTTAATAACAATTCAAGTATATGAGAATTTCATTAGGTATGTTTTTGACTGATATGACTATCAGAGCTGACTTGATGCAGATCAGTGTGGATTTAAGACCAAAAACTCTTCTGAAATAATCTTCTGTACTTCCGCCATCTTGCCTTCATCAGAGCTGTAACTGAGGTTTATTTGTCTCCCATCAATTGTCGATGTTGTTGTAACTCTCCCTGGCTATTTGATTTTTTAGAACAGATATTATCCACTAAACTCTACAGAAAACAAACGTCCCTTTTGGTTCCTTGTTTAATCCTTTTTGGCATTAATCCAAAACTCTTTGACAATGACATGACTAATTGATTCACATCATATAATTAAACAAATCTGATAAAGGCATTGTAGACACAAAATATCTGAGAAATTAAACCCGCTATATTGGTAGATATTTCTGCAACTTATTTGATGGATTGAGTTCATGTTATGACAGATGGTGACACCAACAAGAAACAATGATCAAGTGACTGAGAACACATTTATATTAGACCATTAATTAAATTGATTTTGAAATCAAGAGTGAGAGGTGACTAGATTTAAGGGTGGATTTGTCCTCACTAAGCGGTGTGTCATGTGTGTATGAGGTGGAGAGGGCTGACTGTGGACGGTTGATGGTGGAAGCAGCGCTAGCTCATGTTTCAAAGGCCTCCATACTTGACTGATTTATATTCTTCCTTTAAGCCAACACATACGGCCATCGGCCTCTGTTTCATGTTGGACTTCTCCGGGGATTATACAGGGTTATATACACAGCCCATAAAACACATTGAGGACTTGAGTTGGCCGTTTACAGTGCAGTGAGGTTAATGGGTTGAACTCACGCTTGGTCATGTGAGTGCAGCAATACGCGGAAAGGAAATCTCCCAAAAATAACATTAGTTTATTTTTGTTGCTGCAGGTTTTTCCACTCTCTCGCTGGCAGACCAGATGAGTCTACTGCAGAGCGCCTGGATGGAGATCCTGGTGCTGAGCATCGTGTTTCGCTCGCTGCCCTGCGAGGACGAGATAGTGTACGCAGAGGACTACGTGGTGGACGAGGAGCAGGCGAGGGTCTCAGGCCTGCTGGACCTGCACGTCGCCATCCTGCCGTTGGTGCGACGCTACAAGAAGCTGCGCATGGAGAAGGAAGAGTTCGTCACGCTCAAAGCCATCGCACTCGCCAACTCAGGTACAGTTTACCTCCTCAATACCACTGTCTGTGACTATTAAGATTCAAGATTCAAGGCTTTTATTGTCATTTGTACATAGCTGCAGTAGTTATGTCAGTGAAAATATTAGGTCACAGGCTCCTCCAACAGTGCAACACAATAAAACAGATAAAATATTACAAGTAAATACAAATAAAATAGAATTAACTGATGCAGTGCAGCAAAAGCTTTATTCAGACCCACATCATTTTATTTGATATTCTAGTGGAGACACCAATCTTTCCAAAAATACCAATTAATGCTTTTGAGGAGTATTTTTGGGAGAATGCGGGAAGACAACAAGAATACCTTGTTGTTGTTTTCTTCAACACGAAACGTTAAAGGGTGGCAACACAAACTAAATATATATTTCAGGGATTTTACTTTTTTTACTTTTGGTTTAAGCACTTGACTTACCACATTTACAAACAAGAATACGTCACAAGCTTGACAGGAAGGTACACCTCTATGTGAAATCTTAAATAAATCTAGATAGTCGGCATTCAATTAAAAAAAACAACGAAATAAAACTAAAAAAATGTCAGGTGATTGGTTATATCTGGTGAGCCAATCACTTCCCCGCTGAAGGGTACCTGATAAGAGGGGACAAAAAGGTCAGCAGCGTTCTTGCTTAATGCAACGCTCAATGTGCGTGAATCTGTGTGTGCATCTCTTTTTTAATTTGTGTGCACATATGCGGTTGTGTGTGTGAGAGACTGTCACATTGCGCTCTCATTCTCTCCATCTCCATAACAGTGGCTGCCAGCGCGCCACAGCCCAGGGAGATATATTTAGCATTTCATTAGGAAAACAGGGGCTGTCAATAAAATGTGTTAAGTGGAGTGGAATGAGCGGTGGGGAGCGACGGGCCTCGTTTGTTCCAATGTGAAGATGCTGCGCCCGTATCGACAGTTTGCTTTTCATGAGGCCGGGCCTGTCCCCCACTAATCAATGCCTGTTAGGAGTCTTTTCTCCTGCCTGACTGAAAAATGAAAAATGCTGAGCCCAGAGCTTTAGTCTTCTGATGACAAACTCTCCATGGGAGGGGAGGATAAATGGGTGGGGGTTTATGGAAAGACAGGGATGTAAAGGTAAGGGAGAAGTGTGAGAGAGGAAGGCAGGGGTTGAGAGGGAGGCTCAGGGAGGGCGAGAGGGCAGCTTCGGCTCGTTTGAACACAGTTCTCGCAGAGCTTCGGTGGCAGGGGTCCTGTGGGTGTGACAGCTGTTGAAATTCATGGCCATTGATTTTGTAATTAGCGGAGTATCGACGGGATTGACGCCAGGCTGCTGACGGATTACATGGAAATTGTTTCTTCAAAGTTAGTTTTGCATTCCGCCCGTAAACTCCTTCAATACATGTGAAACGCTGTGGATGTACACACACACGCTGACACACATTTGAAAAGCATATTCCCTCTTCCCCTCCTCTCTCTCACTGAGTCACACACACACATATGCTCGCACAGCCAAACGAGGATCAGATCAGTATTAACATGAAGGTTTCAAATGAAGAGAGCTGGAACACATGTGCGGTCCACATAGCCTAGTTAATTTCCCAAGATAGAAACGCAATTTACACGGAAGGCGACTGGTAAAAGAGACTTAATCAGTCAGTTAGGAACATAATTAGCCTTGTACTTTCCTCTTGTATGCCTCATTTACATGTTTATACGCGGTCTTACTTCATTCCACAACTTTCACGACACATAGCTGAGGCGATCTAATTCACTCACACACTTCAATAAGGAGCCACGTTCGCTTTAAATTCAGGGATACAGTGTGTTTAGGAGGAGACGAGACACTCTTATTCTGTTAGATATACCAAGATGAGATGTTTTTTGAATGTTATAATACTGAATTAAATTCCCATTTTGTTGTGCACAATGGTGTCAGTTAATACAATGTGGATATGATACATACACAGATTAGACCCGTTATAAGTCTGTGCATTGGAATTGGCTGAAAGCAATCTGCTGCCTGTCCATTAAAACGCTCTCTGTCCGTTTGTCCTTTGGAGGACAAGCCTGTTTTTTTCCTTCCCCTGACTTGTAGACTTATACATGGAGAGCAGTTTTTAATAAGTCTCAACTGGTTTTATTTTAGAGCCTATACATAAGGGGGCCAACTGCTCTTTCTTATGGAAATGAAGGCCATCTGCCGCTATCATTCAGCTGAACGATATCCCAGTAATGCAGCCATCTGAATTCATTAGCAGGGGGGGATGTATGTGGTCCATGATACCAAAAGAAATGAATCTTTTTCCTGTCCCCGCCGTATATTTATACGGACCTACAGTACCTCTCTCCCTAGAGTCCCGGCCACGCGTAGGCATTTATTTAAGGAGCGTCATTAACTACTACCAAGAGAAAACCTCTCTCCAAAATTACATGTTTGCAAAGACAAGCTGCAGAATGTAAAGCTGGGGGATGCTGCTGCAAAAGTTGTTTTCGTCATACTGCAGGTCAATAGAAAATGTTCATTTGTTTGTCATTTAATACAAAGCCTTGGAATAGGTTGATTAAATGTTCTCTCTTGTGTCCTTCTCCAGACTCCATGCACATAGAGAACATCGAAGCTGTCCAGAGGCTCCAGGACTCCCTCCACGAGGCTCTGCAGGACTTTGAGGGCCAGCATCCGGAGGACCCCAGGCGGGCGGGCAAGCTGCTGATGACCCTTCCTCTGCTCCGGCAGACCGCCACCAAGGCCGTGCAGCACTTCTACAGCATCAAAATGCAGGGCAAAGTCCCCATGCACAAACTATTCCTCGAGATGTTGGAGGCCAAGGCTTGACACCCGGGCCAGATGTTTGACAGACAGCTGCATCACCCAACGGGAGGCGAGGGACAGCCCATAAAAAATAATAAGGTGGTGTGCCAATTGACAAAGAGAGGATGAAGCGTGGACTACTGAGTCATTTTAACACTTTTAATGGTAATAAACATAACAGGAAAAAGGGACTAGAAATGGTTTAAAAAAGGGTGAATATCAACTTGATTGACATGGGATCATGAGGATGTATATAAAGACGTTCTGTACAGAAATCAGGCAACTGAGGTCTTGTTATAACCAGAGGCCCTTTGCTCTATATCACCTGAAGCTTCTGTGAATTTGTTTCTTATCTTATTTTCATCTCAAAACAAAGCGTGTTAATAGAAATGTCCTAAAGAACTGTACGGCCACGTAGCCACATTAAGTGTTTTTGTTTCTCTCATATTTTCGAATCTCAGCTGTTAAAGCAATAGTCTCTAACTGGTCTACATATAATATGTGTACTGTATATTGTGTGAAATTGCACTGGGCAGCGGCGAGAATTGTTAGACATATTCTTATATTCGTCAGCAAAGAAAGCGGTACTGTGGGATTCTCGATTTCCTCGTAATATATTTACCTCGTAGTAGCTTCATCGACTCAGTTTTAGTCAACTTGGTGCTTTCAGAGGGACAATGGTTGGCCGGTGATCACAGTTCACAAAGAGTTTGCACTAAGCATCGGTGAATAAATGGCAATAATGGGTATTGGACTAGCCAGCTCCGAGCCTCAGTCAGTGTTTTTTTCTTATTAACACTAAACCCCCTCCTCAATTCTCTGTTCAGTGTTATACATTAATATTGGAAACTAAGCATACTGTGAAAAAAACACAAGATAAGCTATATTTGTGCGGAGAGCTTTTAAACCATGTCTTGTTAAAGAAAAGTTTATTTTATTTAAATCAATTACAGAGACATCTATGCAATTTAATGCAATCTAAAACGCTCTGTAATGAATCCTGATAGCCCTGCAATAAATACTACCTTTGTGAAGTTTATTTAATGTTCACTCTGTGTCACATAGGTGCTGATTCAACTCTAAATTTAGAGGCCGTAGTTTGTGACGGTGCGGTATTAGATTGCATTATGTTGTGTAGGTTTTGCTTAGGTTGTATGATCAAACAACAAATGTCACTTTGTTGATGGTATTATTTTCACAGTTTATCTTTTGTTCATTTTAAGTCCTGTGTGATACCAAAGTCTACGTGTTAGCTTCATCTAAACTGAAAAACATATTTTGATCCTGTATTTTGTTCTCGGTGTGAACTACAGGTGAAATATCGTGGCCCCTGAGGGTGAACACTTTTAAATATGACTCAAATATTTGTCATTGTCATTTATAAATAACAAAACCGTAACTTCTTCATGAAGGCTGGGTAAATATTTGGCATAATCCTTCTCAAACGCACCCATACATAAGCTTCCATTAGAGATGTTTTGGTTTGCAACTACACACATTAGTCATAGCTTAAGCTTTACAGATAATTTATATCATCTCATAATTGTGAGCTATCTTTAGGGTGGCAAGATCAAAAGAAATAATGCAATTTTCTTTTTTTCCCTTGAGAGTTTTGGGTCTCTTTGTCTCCGTGTTTGTTAAAATGTAATCTGGCAGCCTGTTCAACAATATAATGACACTTTCTGAGAATAACTTGAATTACATTTGTATTTTATAAGCTCTCAAATTACAGCTTTCTGTCAGTCTGTATCTTCAAAAAATGATTTTGCTCATCATTTAAAAGGGCACTCTGTCCATTTCTACAAACACTGACACAGGTTAAACTGTATACATTGTAAACCAGTTGCCAAATTATTAAAATAAATCTATCAGAATTAAGTGATTGCAATAAACGTATTATCATAAGATCAAAATATAACAATAATCAGCTGCTGTAGGACTTAAGTGAGACAGATATTGTCCCTTACGAACACTTTGAAGCAGCCATTAATCTAAAGTGTTTTAAAGTGCCATTAGCTTCTGCCCAAACAAGAAGAAAACATAAAGCCAAGTAAATAAGACGTTCGCCACTTTCTTCACTTGAAATGATCCCCACAGGAACAGACGCTATTGATTCACTGTAATGTGATGCATAGATAAATATAACCCAATACAGTAGAGGATACCATTCCCATGATGCACTTCCCTAATGAGTAACCAGCTAATTCATCCCCAAATAAATTGAGGGATGAGTCTCCGCTGTACAGAAGCAAACCAAAGCATAAATATCTTAAAGTGACAACATTTATAAAACTGCATTTTGAGCCAGCCAGACCATTGTGGTTGTTAACAGTATAATAATGTTTTATACATTAAACCTTTTAAAACCTTTAAACCTTTTATTCTGCTTATCATCCAGCTGTGCGTCTGTTATTTTTTTGTACCATCCTTTAATCCTACGATGGTGGGGATGACCGCTAAACAAGCTGAAGACCTTTTTTCTTTTTCTGTTTAGTCTATATATGTTGATTAAACATCTGTCACTTTGTCGATATAAGACACCGTGTGAAGTAAGAGATGAAACTACCGATGTTTTTCATGTTACCATGGTTAAAGGAGACTGTTTCTGGCCAAAAGCTTGACCGCAACATGCAAACTGACCTTCTCTCCTCTTCTTCACGTACCTCCTCTGTGCACTTTGAAGAAGGATAATTGTTTCCTAACTTTCCCTTCTTCTCAAATGAACATGAGAAAATAAAAGAAAAATGCCTAATTTATTTTCAGAGTTCTAAAACGGTTGTACTACATCCAATTAATTCTAATTGTCTCCTAAGCTGAAATTCTCAATAGAAATGGAGCAATTAAATGTCTGCTTTGGCTCTACCTTGGGGACGAGAGACATTTTATTTCGGTTGACGGCGGGGAGGGTTTGTCTAAACCTTTACAAAGGCGATTTCATGGGTGTCTGTAATAGTTTCATAACAGAGCGATCACTGGGCTATGCAAGGCAAATATGGCCACCTAAGTTCCCTTGTGTTGTGGAGCATCAGACGGACATTTAGCTGTGCTTTGTTTACAACGTGGGCATACTGTACAGAGCTGTACGCCGCAAATGTATTGTGCATATTTCACCATACTATACTGTAGCTGCTGTGCATTGATATTACAATGATTGTTTGTTTCATTTGCCCGTTAATGAATTTTTCATAATGTATCAGCAACTTCAACACACATTTAGAGCCCACCTGAATAGCTGTGTAATATAAATCACTGTATTGAGTCTGTTATATTTGGTCTAAGGTGGGATGTTTTTTTTCTTTACTGTGTCTTTGTGTCTCTCAAAGCTGAAACAAACACTCTGTGTTTCCGTCCGTTTTGTTTATGAGCACAGCAGGACGTATAGCGAGTGAAGTAGTAGTCTAGACCCTATACCTCAATTCATATTTTGAAAATTACACTGGGCTTGGAAGCGGGCCATGGGTTTCTCCTGGGAATCAGTGGCACAGAAATAAAGTGACATCACTGACTGGGTATTAAAAAAATGTAGATGAACCTGCTGCAATTGGGGAACACATTCCTCGGAGGAGAAAGCTGCTTATTCGCTGTTCCATTTGCGGACTTATCTTATCTCCATGCACTCTGAGATGACGAGATTTACATAAAACATGGAGGAACCTCCCTGGCCGTTCTGCTCCGCGGTGTATAAAAGGACCCTGCTTAGGTGTGTGTACCGTAGACATATGATTACCCAAGAGGTTTACTCCCCTCAAAAGCAATATGTTAGAAATTGTGATATATGAATCAAGTTAAAAGGGAGCTTTGGTTCATTGTAATTATAAACATACCCTATGTTTGGAAAAAGACAGGGTAACTATGCACACACGGTCCTGGAGAGACAAAAATAATGTGAAAATGTTGGGATGAAGAAGCAAAAAGCCAACCACAGCTGGGTTTCACTGGACAGTATTGTGTGGCATTCTCTTGTGTTTTGTTTGTTGTGTTCATGCCTAATGTACCCATGTGTAAATATATGCTTTTTTTGGAGTGAGTCAGATCTAACAATGCACTGAATGTACAGTGACAATAAAATCACATGGTTTATGTAATCACTGCAATTTATTTCTTACTAGGTAATGAACATGGGAAGAAAATAATCTTCTAAAAAACGTCTTTGTAACATATGTAAGGACAAGTTTCACATATTTTATGGAACAATAATGCTGGTTTAAGTTTTCAGCAAATATATTAAATTGCAAGATACAATATTTTCCTCCTACAATGATGATATTACCCACATTACACAATGCAACAAAAATGTTTGCGGGGGTATTTTACACAAAATATTCAAAATTTGCCAAGACACAACTTTTCATTTGCAGTAATACACACATTTACACCTCAAGAAAAAAGAAAACTTCTAAAATAATAAAATATCTTCATACTGTCAAGGTTTTATAAACATACATGCCTTCGGAAATAAGCAAATTACTTCAAAGCAATACAGGCTGTAATATAAAGTAACTTTTACATGTTTGCTGTAATGTGTTGTTGCTTTTAGCTACTCCGGATCATCCAATTTTCCTGGTAAACATTTTTTATTTAATAGATATCAACAAAATAATAGTGAATACTGATACAATGCTTTTATCAGACATATTTGTATCGAGTGCCAGAGTGCAGCATTGCCCTGATATCGGCATATGTAATGTACAGTCAAACGGTGCCCAGCCTGACCCATCATGTATATGCGCATCTGTCTGTGTACTTGTACATTTAGCGAGATGGTGCCTTGGGGTGTAACAGCATCCTCTTGCCCCGACTGTCAGTTGGTTAGCTGTCTACACAATGTCCCGTTTGACCTTGCGTTGGCTACAACACTGGCTGAATGCACATCTGACACACTCCCTTCCTTTGTGGTGCAATCCTGTGGAAGTCATTTCATTTACTGGGCTTTCAACTTCAGCCAATATGGGGGGTGGGGGAGTAAGTCTGTGTTTAATCAGCCTGCCACAAACCATTCCCTTAAACAAAATCAGCTACGATGTCCAGCGAAAAGATCTCTCAACAGAAGATTGAATTAAACAAATAAATGGGCTTGTCACTTTTTCATTTTTTATTTATTCTCTTGGCCCGGCTACGCCCGCCACTCCATGTTATTGCTGAAAATAACAACTGTGTATTAACTTGTGGTTTGTTCTGCAGCAACACCAGTATGCTAGTGTAGTGAGATGTCACCCATTGACACTGAAATATAGAAAACAATTAAAGAAAACACTGGTCACTGAACTTCTCATATTCTCAGCCCTCTCTTTTGTGAGTATTTTTTCTCTGTTTTCAGTCTTGTTGGAGGGAACTAGGGCATGGCCCACTGTCCTCAGAGTTATTTTCCATCTTGCAAACCATGTTTTATTCTCCTTAAATCGTCACCAGTCGTAAGGCCTGCCTGTGCTTAAGAAAGGGCATTGACACTGTCACCCTGCGGTCTGTTAATCAGCCAACCTTGTTGCCTTCCTCTTTCAGAAAATCTATGATCACACTGTTAGTGCAACCTTGTACTGTCCCCGTCACCGTACACTCACACTCCTTCCTTTTGCCTCATGTGAGGATTATTCAGCGGCGGAGGTGAGAGTCCACTGAGAATAGGCTGTAAAGTGTCAGTCATGGTTACCCGGAGTGGTGTTGTCTTGGACAATGTAACTAGGTGAAAGTGAGTGAAGGAGATAGGAAACCATCAATATGCTCCCTGTGTAAATTGAAGAAGGTCATGATTTATGGCTGCCGGCTACAGCGTCCATACATGCTGAATCTACTCTTTTTTTTTCTCTCCCTCTGTCGCCTGGCTCAAGGACAGGTAAGGGTGCCTTTCTCCGCAGCTCATCCCCACCAGCGTGCAGTCTGTGGCACTTTGTGATGGACATCCCTGAGAAAAGGCT